AGAACACTTTTAATTTCACTCTAACTTTTGAGATTCAAAAATGCTTCCTAGAATATTGATAGACATGCGGTTCCGAGTGAACTGGAGTTCCCAGTAGCTGTTCTATCTGCCCTGCTATTTCAAATAACCAGAAAGAAAGCCGTCCTCTCTCTCTCCTGTAAAGCAATCCCCTCTTCAGTTTATTTAATCATTTATACATCATAAAATATACCATTTTAGGTGCTGGATTCAGTGACTTACTAAGTCTAGAGCTGTGCAACCCTCATCACATGACAGTTTTTTAAAAATTTATTGATTGATTTATTTAACCTCGCTGGGTCTTGGTTGGGGCTTCCCAGGTGGCGCTGGTGGTAAAGAACCTGCCTGCCAATGCAGAAGACCTAAGAGACGTGGGTTCGATTCCTGGGTTGGGAAGATCCCCTGGAGGAAGGCATAGGGCCACAGAGAATCTAGTTCCCTGACCAGAGATGGAACCCAGGCCCCCTGCATTGGGAGCTCGGAGTCTCAGCCACTGGACCACCCGGGAAGTCCCCACAATCCAGTTTCAGAACACTTCCTTCACTCCAAAGCAATTCCATTCTCACCTTCAGCCTCAGGCTACCAATAATCTCTTTCTGTCGTTACAGAGCTGTCTTTTCTGGACATTTCATGTAAGTGGATTCACACACTATTCGATCTTTGTGACTGGCTCCTGTTCAACCACGTTCCAAGTGTTGATACTTTATTCCCTTTTATCACAAGTAGTATTTCCTTGTATGGCTCCATGGCTTCTGTTTAGCCATTCATCAGGTGGACATACAGATCACTTCCACTTTTTTGCTATTATAAAGCATGTTGCTTGTGAATATTCATTCACAAGACTTTGTGTGAACACAGTTTTGACTTCTTTTGGGTGGATCCCTAGGACTGGAATTAATGTGTTGTGTGGTAAATTCATGTGTAACCTTTTTTAAAAAAAAGCCAAACTTTTCAATGACTGCACCAATTTGCATTTCCACAAGCAATGTATGAGAATTCCTGTCCCCAGTCAAATTTAACTGCCTTCTTTTCAGAACAGTTAACCCCCTTCATGACGTTTCACACGAGCTTGAAGGCAGATTTCCACAACATAGCAGATTTCCCGGACCACTGGGTAACCCACACTTAGGATTTACCCTCCTCACCCCATCTCCCAGCCGAAAGGTTTCACAGGCTTTTGATAAACTTGTTTTGAATTTTGTTACCTGATTTACTAAAATTCAATTTTTACTTAATAATTTTCCTGTATTTCCTTTGTCCTACTGTCCCCTAGACATGGCATTTATATAACCTTTTATGGAGTTTATTTTTGTACATATCTGTCTAGCCCAACTGAACAAGAAACCCTCTCAGGACGACTTTTTCTATCCAAAGAGACTAACACAAAACACGTCACAAAGTGCCTTAAAAAGCGTTTCTTGAATAAATACTTAAAGATGCAATATACACACTGGGTTCAAATATATTCTAATTTCAAAATCAGTTTGTTTTCCTTCTAAAGGGCCATAGTGTTTGCATAGGACCGATTCATCAAATAGGAATCTTAGGAATCTTAAAGAAACCCTAGGGAGAAGTCCAAATCTTTTAGTTTATGTGACACATCTGAGGCCTGGAGCAGAAAAGCAACTTGCCCAAGGTCAATTGTATGTGCTGGTCAGGAATATGCCATTACTTCTGGAAGAAACCCTGCCATAAGAAAGCAGGTGAACTGAAGCTGGGGAGATAAGAGTGGGGCTACACTATGGTAGAATCCTGAATGCCAGGCCTAAAGTTCACTTGGTAGGAAAGGATGCAGGATTATCCAATCAGCATTCTTGTAGATCAACATGGGAGGTGGCAGATGCAAGGTGGGAGACCAGTCTAAGTGGAAGCCAGGAGGGAGGGCCTGGACTTGGTCGGGTGTGTTTGCAGAGGGAAGGAAGGGAGAAGCACTGGGCTATGCAAAATGCACGAATGCCTGGAAAATGGGACTCACCTGGGACACAGTTCGGTGGGATAGAAATGCAGGTCTGCTGACCATTCGGACATCCTCCACAGCCCCAGGACAGGGAGCTTAGTGGGTTGGAGTGCTCCCTCTGCACTCCTGGTTATGTCCCAGTATAAGCTCTACCAGCACCACCCACAAGCCAGTGACCTCAGGCTAATGACTTACTGACTCCGAGCCTTAGTTTCCTCATCTGTAAAATGGGGCGATAACACTTCCCTCCAGGGTTACAGGGAGGATTCGGTTAGGTGATGTGTTTAAGGCACTTAGCCCTGAGCCTGGTGTGTAGCCAGCCATCAGTTCCCGGAGGCCTCAGTTCCCGAGCCCTGCAATTTTTCTCTCCTCACAGGAAACTTCAGCTGGGAGCAGCGCAGGTGTCGCTTCGGGCTGGACACTCCATGTTTGAAGTTCTATATATGGTGAGTGAGAAATTATCTTATTGTTTGGAGCTTGTGGTCATGTTTTAAACTTACTCAATTGGAAATTTCTTAAAGGAACTAGCACTTTTTAAAAAATGCCATGTTCACACAATTGTCTAAGTCCTAAACCAGTCATATATGAAATGATTTCACTACAATGCCTGGTGCAGTTTTCAAATGCTACTCATGGGATCTCAGATTAGGCTGGGGCTCCTGGGACTTCCCTAAGATTCCACACTTCCAATACAGGTGGCACCGGTTCAATCCATGGTCTGGGAACTCAGAACCCATTTGCTTGGCAGTGTGGCCAAAAGATACAAAAAAGAAAGAAAAAAAGGCAGCCACAAAAACTCAGAGCAGCCAAAAATAAAACAAACACAGCAGTGAAAAAGAAAAAAAGACTGGGGTCCTCTAGGAAAAAGGGATGGAACCCCCACCATCTGCTTGCCCCCCTTTCATTTTTTGTATATTATTGGGTTTCTCAATAAGACAAAATTTCATTTGAAGAAAAAGCTTCACTTTTTGGGAAAATTCTTATAAAGGAAATTTAACAAATATACCAGATTGATCATGACAACCAAGTGGTGAAAGATAAAAAGAAGTTTTGTATACAAAACTTCAAATTCGTTAATTGGTTGGACAAGTATATATGTTTCTGAAGAATAAAGAAGGAAAAAATGTTACAGGATACAAATACTTTTCCATAGCAGAATGGTGTTTGCATTTTTCTAATTGGTATAAATGTCTACACCAATTTTCTGGAATTCTCTTTAGAAAGAGTTGGAGAAAATATAAATTGAACCTTAGGCAACCACTTCATGCTTGTCTCTATCTGTTTAGGAAACAAATTATTTCACAAAAGAACCACATTCCACAAGAAGTATGTTTGTTCTGGCTGAAACATCATCATTTCCTCAGGAAGTCTGATTCAGATAACGCATCTAAGAAACTCAAAATTACTTAGTTTGTAGACAACTGAATGTCATACTCCTTTCTGAATTCCATGAGTGTTCCCCAAATTAATTCTGCCATTTTAGACTATGCTTTGAAATTCAAACATATGTTATTATTTCATGGCCATTACTGCCTATTAGATGTCAAATCCAGTTATTACCTGCATTTTAGTGAATGTTTTTTTCACAAATGCATGTATCTCGTTTATTTATGAAGGTTTCATTTTTATTTTTTCTTTTTAGTTTTAAAGGTTTCATTTTTAAATGCAGACTTGAAGTATATTTTTAGAACCTAAATAAATCAATAGGGAGGAGGAGAGGATGTGATTAAGAATTCCGAGCTTCTGGAAGCTCAGTAGTAAAGAATCCACCAGCCAATACAGGAGATGCGGGTTCGATCCCTGATCCAGGAAAATCCCATATACTGTGGAGCAATTAAGCCCATGTGCCACAACTTGCGCTAGAGCGCAAACCTGCACTCTACAAGAGAAGCCACACAATGAGACAGTAGCCCCCGTTTGCTGCAACTAGAGAAAAGCCAGCAACGAAGACCCAGCACAGTCAGTAAGTTAAAAGGGAAAAAACTCCCCCAAGAATCCAGACTCTGGACCCAGATGACTGCATTAGCCCAGCTCAGTCACTTACTAAGTGTGATTTTCCACAGGTCACTTCATTTCTGTGCCTCATTTTACTTATTTGTAAAGTGGGAATAATAAGTGTCTCCCTCTCATCAGGCTGAGGAAATTACGAGTTAATATTTTCATATATGTGAAGTGCTTGAAATAGTGCCTGGTACACACTATGCGCTCAATAAATGCTAGCCATTGTTAGTTCTTCTGGGTTTTCCAGTGTAGTCGGGGCATATGTCGTTGGGTTTTGTTGATTATTCTCGTTGCTAAAAGGCTGCTGTTGTTGTTCAGTTGCCAAGTCACGTCTGACTCTTTGGGACCCCATGGACTGCAGCATGCCAGGTTTCCCTGTCTCTTCACTATGAATAGATTAGTCTTTTTCATATAAATAGAATATAATCAATGATACTCAATTTAAAGACCTTGCTGGTCATAAGACTATAGACTTGTAGGGCTGAAGGGATGGCAGAGAACATCTTATTTAATATCTTTATTTTGTGGTTGAAGATCCCAGGCCCAGGGGGTCGAAGGCACTTATGAAAGCCACGGAGCAAGGCAGAGAACAGCCAGGATGTGGTTGCTTCCGACAACGCTTTAGGCTCTCAGAAGGCTGCAGCAAAGTTTCCATTAAGGCATCACTTATCATCGCACTGATAAGCCAGCTACTGAAGCAGTCCGTGCTCATCAGAATGACAAATAAGAGCATTTACATATTTGGAACTGTCAATACACAAAGTAAATATAGGTAAGGAAACTGGCTTTGCTGTATGCCTTCATGCTATTCTTTACTATCCTGATAGAAAATACTTGCAATTAGGGTGTTTTGATGTGTTTCCATTTCAAACATCTCTTGCAAAAAACATTTTTTTTTTTTGCTTGTTTGTTAAAACTATAATAAAAAACAGTCTGAGGGATTAGAAATAGAGAAGCCCGCCACCACCCAGCCTATACCACTGGAACCATTTACACCTCAGGAGGCACACACATACGACACACACAGATAATCAAAGTTTTATTTAAAATTACAGAACACTTAAAAATAAACAATATAATAGACTTGAATGTTTATTGGAACATAGAAAAATGCTTTCAAATACACTAAAACCTTCAAATTTACCCCAAAGTATGCTATGCAGCCAGTCGAAGTGCTTTGAGAAGCATCACTCTCTACGGATGGCTGGGGTAGGAGGTAGGCTGCGGAGTCCCCTGCAGGCAGGGGGCTTTCCTAGGTGGACTGGCGACGTCTCTTCTTGTTGTGGTTCTCAATTGCTCTTCTCAGCGCCTCATCCTGGATGAGGTCCGATATTCTCATGTCTATCTGGCTACAGCCGACTTTCGGGCAACTGTGAGAGATGAGAAAATCAAGTCAGGCCACTTCACCTTAATGCCTTCAGAATCAACTTCTCTCCGTGCAAGAATTTAAGAGCATACTTTAAAAAAAAAACTGAATGAAAAATTCTTTCAATTCTATAGGGTTTTACAATTGTCAAAAGTTTCACACAGATGATTTCTCATAATTCCATAATAACCAGCCCCGCCCCTGCCTTTTTTCCTTCAACCCCTATCACGCCAGCCCCCACAACTGATAACCACTGGTCTGTCCTCTCTGTGAGTTTGCTTCCTTTTTGTTGTATTCACTAGTTTGTTCTACTTTTAGATTCCACAGATAAATGATATCATACAGTTTGTCTTTCTCTGACTAATTTCGCTTAGCAGAATTATCCTCCAAGTCCGTCCATGTTGCCACAAATGGCAAAATTTCATTCTTTTTTTATGGCTGAGTAGTATTTAAGTGTGGACATCTTACCAAAAGGGGGGCACATTTAAAAAATCAGGACTGATGTGCACTCATTCACTTGTTCACCGAGTGCCCACCTAAGCCAGGGTCTGTCCAGCACTGGGACCAGGGCAATGCCCACTTCACGGTACTCACTTTCCAGTGGGGGAGAGAAACCATTGCTAACCTGCTGCACAGCGTCTTTAAGTGCCACAAGGGCTATAAAAGCAGGGTCAAGGGAGAGAGCGTGAGCTAAGGGGCTTATCTAGCAGGGGTCAGGCATGGCTCGCTGGGGAGGGCTTATCTATTAATAGAACAAAGGCTGCATGTGGCCGGGGCTGAGGCCTGGCATGTGTAGCAGTTGAGGAGGCAGCTGCTTGGTATAAGAGCGATGCCAATGTGGCTGGAACACCCAGGGCAAGAGGGAGGGCATTTGGAGATTTGACTGGAAGTGTGTGGGATTTTGGATTTTATTTTAAATATAAAAACCCTAGAGGTGGTGAGATAGGAGAGGGATGAAATTTAGCATACATTTAGAAAACATGACTCTGGCTGTTTAATGTGGACACAGGCGGAGGGGAAGCAGAGAACTGAGGGGGTCATGCAGCAGCTGGGAGAGAAAGGGCAGCTTGGATGAGGGTGCAGCTTCCAGATACAGCCGGAAGTAGAACCCAGGGGTCTTGCTGACGGACCCGATGTGGAGGGTAAAGCAAAGAGCTGAGCTTTGTTCAGAGTTTGGCCTGAGCTGAAGGGCCTTGGTGGTACCCTTTATCTCCATGGAAACAACTGGAAAACTAGGTTGGGATGGAATTAGGCAGGAGTCCTGGCTGCTATATATTCTCTCTGAAATGCCCACCAGTCCTCTCAGTGGAGAGGCTGAGTGGGCTGATGGGGACTCAGGGGAAGAGCTGTGGCTGAAGAAATCAGTGGGTGAGTCATGGTTCTGTTTAGATGTGGTCTCCTCTGAAGGCAGTGGGCTGGATGAAGTCACCTGATTTCTTCTCAACATGAACCAGACTTGGGCAGAGTAAAGTGCCCAGTTTTGGAGTCAAAGCCGAGCTAGGTCTCCATGCCTACTCACTTGTTATGAGACCACCGGCAGCTCGCTTTGACTTTTGGAGCCTCTGCATCCTCAGATTTACAGAAGGCGCAGAATCCCAGCTTCAGCGCTCAGTAGCATTCATTCCCTTCACTGCCTAGAGCTTGCATATCTCCAACACAGACATGTGCGCATTCGTGCATTCATTTGACCCTCTTATGTGAGTGGCCCTATGAAGGGTTCGAAGCATCCAGCTGTAAAATACAAATACAGGTTCCTGCCCCACACAGAGCTCTGGCCCAGTGATCTGAGACAACCCTCCAAAAAGCACAGATCAAAAATAACAAACACAAGACAAAAGTTATAAACCAGAAGGGGAAGAAAGCTGATCATGTGAGGTCTCATCTGTCCAGCAGTAGAGAGCTCAACCGTGTAACACCGAAGAGAGACTTTTTCTTGGTCTTAATTTCTGGACCAAGGCATCTTTCTATGAGAGGAGCATGAATCAATGTAATGAATCATATGCTTGCTAACAATATTTATATTTATTGAAATGTGTCCTGTATGGTCAGGTACTTGTGTTAAAATGTGAGGCTAGAAAGGTGACCATGTGAAAGAGGATGGGGGTGACTGCGCCAGGTATGATGACTTGGCTTCGTGTCAGGGTGTGGCTTGGAGGTACTTGAGAAGGGCTTTACACTGATTTAAAACACCCCGAGGTCTCAGAGTGAGTTTTTTCTTTCAGTATGAAAGTCAATAAGCTGAGATTATGAAAAGACGCTGTCCTGACTTTGGAAAAGGCGTTTCTCACCACTTGACCTTCTGTGACATGGAGATGCAGCTTGAACTCAGTGGCTGAGATGACCCTCAAGCTAATGCTTATCAACCCGGCTGATCATCTGCTCTGACTGCCCTGCCTGGCTGGAGTACCCCCCCCCCCACCTCCCCTCCCCAGGACAAAGTCTTTAACACCAATAGCCAGACAGTGAATAAGCTGTTTTAGGGAAGTGGAGAGTGAGGTGGGGAGGACTTCCTGATGACATCAGTGGTTTGAGTCAGTAACTGAGAGCATTCTGAGAATGTGTGATGGGATTAACCACACTGCTCAGCGGCAGAGCTGGCTGCACACCATCCCAGGGTTACCCATGTCAGACAAAGAGGGCTGAGCGCACTTAAGGGGATTCAATCGGGGGACAGAGGCATTAACCCAAAAACCCTCTCCAGGGGAGCCAGACGGCCTAGAGACACAAATACAGGCTCAGGAGTAAATGAGAGCTGGGCTCCAGCCTCCTGGCTGTGACACTCTGGGCAAGTGTCATCAGTAATGGGCCTCAGGCTCTTCTTCTAGGAAGGCGGAGCATACAGGGCTGTCGTGAGAAATGAGTGGGATGCCGTGTGACAAGGGTCCAGGAATTCATGCAGGTGCTCAGTAAGCCGGTTCCTGCTCTGTGACACTATTTCTGTTCTCAAGAACCTTGCGGAGAAGAGCCAGCCCCACCTACAGTGCCGGTGGGAGGCCGACATGCCACAATGCAGAGGTGCCGTGGGAGCAAGGGGACGGGGCACTTTGTGCAGCAAGAATGAGGGTTCTGGGAAGGCTTCCTGGAGAAGAGGTTGATGCAGGAGAACCTTGTTTCTCACCCCATCTCAAATAAACACACACCAATTTCTAAACTGAAGAGGAAAAGACAAGGTTCATAATGACGTGATACTGAATCAGGGCGCTCCTCCTCTGGAGAAAGAACACTCTATAAGCATTAGTGCATTCATCCCCACGACATCCTGGTGAGCTAGGTAGGTGTGGCCACACCCGTCTTAAGCCCTCGCATCATCACTGTGCAGGAGTCAAGCCTACAGGCCTGGGAGGAGACGCTGAGTCCTAAACTTGGGTCACTGACAGGGCAGAACATTCCAGCACAGCAGTGGGCAAGCGTGTGTCTACTGAACAAAGGGACCTGGGTCTCAGGAGTCCCAGAGGCTGTGGGGAACCTTGGCCTCAGCATTAGCAAAAATGTACAGGATTGTGGGTCTTACGAGCTCCTGGGTCTGGGCCCCAAGTATTCCAGGGTCCACCCAGCTCTAGAAAGCAGGTCTGGAAATGTGAGCAGGATGGATTCTCATCATACCTAAACCCAGAGGGTAACTTGAGCCTACATCCTCTGCATCTGAAATGATGTGTCACTAAGCAGTGAGGTAAGTAATACAAACATGAACAGTCTCGACCTCAGTAACCCGGCTGCTATTTGTTTAGCGCTCTGTAGGCCGAAAAAGAGCTTTCTTCTAAGTGGTTTGCTTCTCCATTGCCAAGAAATTTGCTGGTGCAGACCTAGACTGGAATTCCCCACTGTCCCTTTGATCCTGAAATACTGTGAGATGGTGCTCTTTTCATTTTACAGATGAAGAAACAGAGACTCTGAGAGGTCAGTGGTTGGTTCATGGTTAAAATAGGGCCTCTAAGCACGTTGCTGGAGTGCTGCTGTTCAACGACACATTCCTATTCAAACTAACTGTCCTCTCCAAGCTCTTAAACATGACTGTTTGCTAATACAGTCTCTGTTCTTAAACCAGAAAGCAAAGAAATGACCATGGAAAACTGCAAGTATCTTATTCATGTGAAAATCGTGAGGCAGTTTTATTAGTAAGATAACAAACAGACTGATTATTCAGAGATCTGCTTTAGGAAATTATTCTAACTAACAGTATTTAGTTAGGGCTAAAGTCTCAGCGGTTTTCTTCTGACTTAAGCCCATGCAGAGAGATGTGTCAAGAGACCTCACGGACAGTAAAAGGGAGTCAGTGCTAGTAACACAGTGCACCTGGAACTCCTGTCTAGGAAGTCAGAGTTGGAGCCGACAGGAGGAAGAACTGAGAAACTGAGATTTCTCAAACTGAATGTGTCATGCACATTTTTAAACAAAGCGAACCCAGAAGTGCTCATCGCCCAAACATGCATCCTGGGAGATGACACTAATTCATACTTCATCAGGAACCTCTGGGGTAGGTTTTGAAGAGGCCCTGGATTCCAACCTGCTGCCAAATGCAGTATAGCTCATCCTCAAGGCCCTGTCAACCCTGACTCCCCTCGCCCCCCTGCCACTGGCTCCTGTGAAGCTCAACTCTCTAGTCTCTTCTCCCCTCTCTCCCAGCTACGTCTCAGACTGCTTTGTTGGAAATCTTCTTCCTCTGATTGCCCTTTCAGAATGGCAGAATGCTTTTTTTGCGGGCCTCCATCAGGTGCTCTGGGAACACAGTAAGCAGAGCAGAGCTGCATCCTGGCTTCACGTTGCTCAGAGCCAGGCTAAGGTCCCATCCTGGGGGCTCTTGGCTGGCCGTCACATCTGGTCCAGAGCTGCACCTGGCAGATGTGTGGGTCTGATTCTTCTGCATCAATAACCTGTCGATCAACATCTCACTCAGAGCTTCTCCCGAAGTCAAACACCCACATTTTCTGCACCTCATGGATACTTCAGGAGGAGGAGGAGGATACTTCAGGCTGTATTGCTAGGGACCACAAACTTAGCGTGACCCTCTTACCATCCTTCCTAAATGCGTTCCTCTTACACCCCCTCCGTTGGCTAATGACATCACCATCCTTCTAGACACCGTTTAGGCATGTCAGTCATCCTTCCACTTGTTCCCTCCAGCTTTCAGTTACAGAATTCTGTCCATCGTACCTCCACAATCATCTTCTCCTCAATGCCCTTCCACCTATGACTCTGGTCTCAATTCCAGCGCTCATGATCTATAACTCAACTACTACCACAGCATCCTAACTGACATCTTCACCTCAGGCCTTTGTTCATCCATCCCTTAAATTGCTACTGGAGTAACTTCCTAAAACCCAGGTTGACTAGCATATTCCCTCAAAACCCTACAGAACAATGATGGCAAGAAAGACGAGGAGGACGGGATAATGTTTACTTACCACGTGACAGGTGCTTTCAGGGCTTTCTGTATATCTTATTCAAATTTCAAACATATCACTGAGGCAATTCACAGTTATGACCATCAATTTATAGATGAGGAAACTAATGAAATCATAACATTTAATGTCCTCTGTGATGAGTACAGAATAGAGAGAATTCACATACACCAATTCCCTCTTACTAGAGCCCAGAGCATCCTTCCCATCACCCTCTAACAAACAATAATTGCACCTGTATCTACTATTCCCCAAGTGGAACAGACTCTGAATGTGGTGAGCCTCTGGGCTGGAAAGACTCTTCTTCACCCTTCTCTGAAATCCTTTTCATTTTTCAAGGCCCAGCAAAAATACTACCTTTGCTGTAAACCTCCCAGACGTCCTCCCCTTGGACTTCACTGTTATTACTAAGCTATGAGAATCTGCAGTGTTTGTGGAATCTGCATCCAACTTAAAGAAAAGTATGGCAGAAAAATACCCACACTTTCCAAACGCTGGGTGTTACTCAATAGCTTCCAAATATCATTTACAATTCAGAAAAGGCAAAGGACATTAGAAAGTCAAAGTATGTAATCAAGAAGATGTGTTTCAGTGCAAGCCTGTTCTGGGAGTTGCTCCCACCCATCCTGGGACTAGGGAGAAATGTGCTTTGTTATCAGTACCTGTCCTTTCCAAATCTGACTTGAGGAGAATATCACAAACTTTAAGGAAGAAGAGCTGTGAAACAGAACTATCTGGGAAGGCCTATTCTTAGCAGTTATGTCAACAAATTAAAATTTTGCTTTTCAGAGAATAAACATAGGAAAAAAAAAAAAGGAGACACGGAAGGCTTAGACGTCCAAAAACAAAGAAAATTACACTCACAGGGAAAATGGAAGGTTCCCTAGGGAAATGGGACGTCTCAATTATAAGCTGGAAAGTCAAAACAGACAAAAATGTACTCAAACAATCTTGATTTTGCAACCATTAGGCAGGTTTTCCAGAATAAATAGGGCAAATTACTTGACTGAATGACCATTAAGATATCTACAGTTGCAAATGCCCTATCTCTAAATCCACACCCAGATGAGGAGTGGTGGGGAATTCCAATTTAGGTCTGGAACAGAAAATTTCTGGATGATGGAGAAGCAAAGTCACACATCAAAGGGACTGTTATCAAAGGTCCACTGAGAATTGGTCACACCTGCAATTCCATTCCTTCAAATCTGTGATAAGAGCACGAGAAATGCCAACCAAGTCAAAGCCAGGCTAGCCAACTCAGGGTTCTATGTCATTGCAGGAACAGAGCTCTGTGTGTGTTTGTATGTGAAAGGGGTTTAAAATATATATATATATATGTAAAAGATTCTCTAAACGTTCCAATTAAAAAGAAAATTCTCATTGAAGTCATCCATGAATTTACTTAAACTGTTCACGAAGTTATTTACATAATTAAAGATATGAAAGTTTTTCCTGGACAATCAAATTTTGATCATCAAGACCAACAGAAACCAAGACTTCTCTGGTGGTCCAGTGGATAAGACATCACACTTCCACTGCAGGTGGCACGGGGTCTGGGAACTAAGATCCCACATGCTGTGAGGCACAGCCAAAAAAAAGACCAGTGGATATGAATTCTTAGAATGACAACTTAATACTTTTTACAACAAACTATCTGTATTGCAGAATGAAAAAAAAATTTTTTTTAAACCATTCCTTCTTATTTGGGTTAGGACATATAGAAAGGGGAAAAGAAATCTCTCAGCATCACAGTTCTCCTTTATTTCTTTCAGGCTACAGCACATGCAGGGCTTCCCAAGTGGTGCTAGTGGTAAAGAACCTGCCTGCCAATGCAGGAGATATAAGAGATGTGGGTTCAATCCTGGGGTCGGGAAGATCCCCTGGAGGAGGGCATGGCAACCCACTCTAGTATTCCTGCCTGGAGAATCCCCATGGACAGAGGAGCCTGGCACGCTGAGGCCCACAGGGTCACAAGGATTCGGACATGACTGGAGTGACTTAGCATGCATAGCACACACAAATTTATAAAACTTCCTGTTATCTAATGATGAGAATTACATCCAACTTCCTTTTCTTGTATTTTGAAGCTCCTTCAGCTTCTTCCCAAACAGATTACTAATTTTCCCCTTATGTGTTGTGTTTCCTGAAAACCAGCTCCCATGTTTATACGATCCCTCCGGGTGAATGGATTTCAGGGGACTTGTTGAAGCAGCTTCCCCTCCAGCATGAACACACTGCCTGGGACTGACCACCCCTGGGAAGGACCACTTCCCTTCCTGCAGCAACTCACCAGGCCTTTTTCTTCCGCCTGTGCTTGGACTCAATCATGCGAACAATGGCTTCCTCATCGTAGGTGTGGCCACACACTTTATTTTTCACTGGTTTCTTCATTTCCAACTGTAATCAAGAAGACATTAGGCTTTCAGGAATGATGATGACCAGCTTCCAGTAACTTCTTCAAGTCACCGATTATTTGGCACTGCTGTCACCTAGACTCGGGGCTCCCGAGGTTTAACCTCCCCATCTCGTGGCTCTACGTAACTCTCAGGGCAGAGGGCCATAGCAGAAAATTCAGGGAGACCAGAGGCCTCAATGGCACCTGGCCAGTGGGGCAGGAATATACTCATAGATCCCTACGGACATCATGGCCTGCAAACTCTTTCCCAGGTCTGCTCCTCGACCCTCATCACTTTCCTTTCCTCCCTCGTCAACTCCAGACAGGAAATAAAGTCAGAAAGCAAATAGGAACTTTTTGCCTCTATGAAGCAAAGTGTTAACAGTACCTGTGTAATGGGGCAGATGAAGTTGGTCTGACTTTGAGTCACAATCATATCTTCATCAAGTCCTTCTGTGCTGTCAGCCTCTCTGTCTCCTTGAAGACCGTCTAGAGGGGAAAAGGGAAGCTGGTGAGTCTTCCTGCTCTAATGTGCCAAGGACAGGAATGGATGGGAGGAAGGAGGCTGACAGATTTTCAGGGTCTCTTTGGTGTGCACCCCTGTGCTAGGTGCTAGGGTGCATATTAACTCTTCTGCAGGGGGAGATGGGGCTCTGCCCATGTTTGGTAAGGAAATAAACTTGGAGCAGTGAAATAACTTTTTCAGAGTCACCGAGAATGATTTTGCGGGGGAGGACTGTTCAGTCATCAGGAATGTGGCTTTGGAGTCAGAAGGACTTGATTATCTCTGTCACTTCCAGCTGTGAGACCTCGGGCTAGCAAGGTCTTTGTTTTTTAACTTCTCTATTTTATAACTTCATTGCAAAGATTAAGAGGTGAAGAATTTCGTGTGCTCTGCATAGCTCCTGGCACAAAGACACATTCAATAAATGGTAATTACTGTTGGATAGTACAGGGATTCTCAAATTTTGAGCTGAGAACCCTTCTGTACTTATAGAAATTATTGAGGACGCCAATACACTTTTAAAATGTGGGTTATATTTATCAAGATTTGCCACGTTAGACATTATTAAGACTGAGGAATTTTAAAAGATGCATTTATTAATAAATTTAAAAATAACCCCATGACAAGCTAACATAAATGATATCTAAAAAAATTTAAAATAATTATATTTTCTAGGGTAACAAAAAAGTTAAGAGATAAGGTATTTTTGAAAATATCTTTAATATGCGACTTAATAGAAGACAGTTGGGCTTTGATATCTGTGTATTCATCCAGTCTGTCGTGATACTGCATCACACAGCCTTGGGAAAAATTCACCTATGAAAAGAAAGAGGGTGAAAAGGGCACATGACATATTAATATTATTATGAAGATAATATTGACCTCATGGGTACCCTGAAAGTCTCCCCGAGTACCCAAAGGACTCCTGGCCCACACTTTGGGAACTGCAGAGCGAATACGTGGTAGGGTTGGTTGGCTTTGAATGTAACATATTTGATTCTGAAATGTATGTACTTTTCATGGTTGCCCTTCACCAAGGGAAACTAGGTAATATATGACATTTGAATGGGGGTACTGACAGAATCTCACACTAAAGCCTTTCTTTTTGAAGAAGGGAACTTGTCATTTTGCACAGAAATCAAAGATCAGTAGTGTTTTAAACCCAAGTGTGACAGTGTAGTCCTTCCTCCTTTTCTCCTTTCTCCCTTCCTTTCCTCCTTTCATTCTGGGAAAATAATACAGATGTTTAAAAAAATGCCTCGTCTTTAATGTGTGAGGGAAACCCTTTTCTTAAGCTGAGATGCTTCTGCACAACTTTTAATTCCTAGAACTGCTGGCCCTGGCCTTCCCCTTCTGCCAGATGAAGTGTCTTCTGGAAAAGCACCCTTGGGGACAGGAGAGGGCTGCGGAGCACCTGCTCAAGGTCACCAGTGAACTTACGACTGAAACTCAGGCATTCGGCCCCCAGTTACTCTGGTTTTTCTGGCGGGGGTTTCTTTCTGCTTTAGTGACTAGTGCTTGTTGTATTTTCTTAGAGAAATGTCCCCAAACAGTTGTTACTCCTTGAAGAAGGCAAGAGGGACGCGCTTGGAGCTTAGGACTTCCTGGATGGAACATTTTCTTTTAACCATTGGTGGTTAAGGTACAGTGCCTGGCGCCTCTCAGCTTTTCAAGGGGCTATAAAAATGTTTGAGATCTTGAAAACCACATATTGGATTCAAAGCAGGATTACTACAAAAAACTGAAATTAATGAGCTTTAAAGGTCTACAAAATGTAATGTTGGGTTAACTTCATTAACGGTTGATTTGGTCATCAAAAATATTTCATTTGGAAGCAATATGTAGGCTGGACTTCAGTATTAATTTAATAACTCCCAAGTATGCGGAGATAATTGCTCAGAAATTAATAGCCAATTATAGGCTAAATCACTTATTTGGAGCCAAACTTTTCCCAAACCAAAACTATATGGATAAAAATATGTTCAAAAATGTTGCCAGCAATAAAATTATATTGAATGTGGAGGTTGCCAAAGTTTAGCATGCTTGCTGTGATATGAGCTGGGGCTCCTGAAATAATTTTCCTAAGATCTATGAAGGGTTTCTGGGCTTCCCAAGACCTATCATTGGTATTAATAGCACGAGTCAGACTCTTAAGAGAGTCTTTTTATCAACCCAGTGATTCTTCAGGTTGGCTGAAGAAAGCTGGGCAGGTAAGGAGAAAAATCAAAGGGCAGGGTTGGGAGCTCTTCTGATTCTTCAATTTACTTTCCAAAGCCTCCTCCGGGGGCTGCCGCAGTCCCTTTTGAATTATGTGTTTGACAGTCAAAATAAAAGCACCTCTTTGTCCATTTCTTACAGGGCTCATTCTGAACAGATAGCACATTTCTGACTATAGATGTTATACTGTGCAACTCACCAGAAAATCTGCTGGGTGAATCACAGAGTTCAGACAATGTGAAAGACTGCAGGTTCTCTCTCTCTCTTTTTTTTTTTCTATTTTTAAATTTCAAAAGGTAAAGGAAGCAAGAAAGCACAACTCAGATGCAATACCAAGCACCAGGGAAGGCTGAGCAGGGGGCTCAGAAGCTGTAGGTGGCTATCAACAGCAGTGATCATGAAAGAAGAAGGTGACAAAGTGAGACTGTGGAAGAAGGCCAACAGTGAGTAATAGCCCATGGACTGAGAGTCTAAAAAGAGAAAGAGCCTCAAGAGCTAAACTTCTCTTGAGCTAGAACATTTCCTCACCCGAAATCTGTATTTATAGAAAGTGATATCAACGTTGGGATTCTATAATGTGCTGAACAAAAGGTTACATCTGGCAATAAGTATCACTTACACTAATCTCAGACAGTAAGAAATCTGCAGGAGACCCGGGTTCGATTCCTGGGTCAGGAAGATCCCCTGAAGAAGGGGACGGCAACCCACTCCAGTATTCTTGCCTGGAGAATTACATGGACAGAGGGGCCTGGCGGGCTACAGTCCACGGGGTCACAAAGAGTTGGACACGACTGAGCAACTAACACACACACACACACACACACACACTAATCTACACAAAAAGACACAACTTTTTGATAAGCCCACTGAAAGGAAGATTAGAGAGGAAAAATAGAGATCGTCTACTAGAATCACAGAAGTTTTTAAATTGAGGTTACTGATTTTTATTCTCTCATTTATTTGAGAAAACGGAGATCCAAACACATTACAGGTTTTGTCCAAAGTCATGCAGGGAGTTAGTAAATCAACATATGGCTCTATTTTCTTGGTGTGGTTAACTGGAATACTAAAACCAGTGGGTAGGTTCTGGAAGCCATCCTTCCCTCCCCCATATAATTATTTTATTAATAATAATACCTCTAGTTTATTGACTGCTACATACAGCTACTGTGCTCAGCACTTTATATACATTATTTCACTTAATCCTCACCAAACACCCATGAACAACAACTCGACTGCTATCCCCACTGTAGAGACAAGAAAACTGAAGCCCCACAATATTTTTAAGGCAAAAGTAGAAAATGTCAGCATTATAATAAAGAAATAACTGGATTAAATCAGTTTGTTATTTAAGAGAGCTCAAAAAATTTTTCTGATTAAAAAGAGAAAGACAAGATGATGAGTCACAGTGTTTCCATGTACATAAACAAGGCATGTTGTCAGAAGCATATGTGCCAGCTGTTAGCTTCCGATCAAGGGCAGATCTCAGGCCCACACCTGACATCCATGCCCAGGCCCAGAGTACCCAAACAAAGTGCTGAGGAGGGAAACCTGGGTATGAACTAACATTTATAGAGTACCCACGAGGGATATATCAGGGCTGATTAGTAACTTGAATGGGATTTTTTTGATGTCATAAAATAAAAACTAAAAGGAGAAGACAAAAAAAATGCTGTAGCAGTAATGAAGTAAACAAGCAAGGATTTCCAAAGGTCTGCGAATATTCCCCAGTGATGCAAGGTGAGGGGCTTGGTGAGGGCACTGATTGGATCCCCAAGATGTGGGTTCATGTTTGGCCAGCTGTGACCGTCAGTGAGCAGCTGGATCCTCATGTCTGTCATCCCCTCTCCTGGTTCCCCAAGCCCAAACCTTTGGAATCATTCTTGATCACTGCATTCCTCTCCCTTCATTCCTGACATCCAAACCACATGCAAGTTCTGGTGACTGGTTCTAAACTATATTCCCTAAATCAAAGCCGAGCCTTTTCTCATGATTTCTACTACATCTTAGTCCAAGCCACCATGGCTTCCTGCCCAGACCTCTTCAGAAGCCTCCTAACTAGAAGCCCTCCTTCAACTAGGACCACCATCTACATGCACACACTGCACCCCAACCTGCCACTCCGACCTGCTTCTCACAGGGGCCTGCATGGCCAGCTCCTCAGACCAGTCCCCTTCTCGCCCACTGTGCTCAGGTCACACTGGTCTTGTCTCTATTTCTGGAACATGCCACGCTCTTTCCCATCTTTGACTTCTATACTAACCTGCCTGGAATGTTCTTCCTTCTGATCTTTGTTTGTCCTGCTTCTTCCTGTCATTTTATAATGTCAGTTTAAACATTATCTCTTTGGAGAGGCCGTCTCTGACATCGTGAGCTAATAAAGAAGACGCCCAGGCCTTCTCTACCCCATCTCTCTGCTGTGACCGCATAGCACATCTCTGTAAGTGCTTCTTTCTTGTCTGTCTCCCTCTCTTCTTCTTTCCCCCTCCCCTGTTCTCTTCCAGGAAAGCAGGGACTTGACTGTCTTGTTCACTGACCTGTTTTCTGGGAAGAGAACAGGGGAGCGGGAAAAGAGGAGACAGGGAGACAGATAAGAAAGAAGCACTTACAGAGATGTGCTGGGGTAGAGAAGGTCTGGGTATCTTCTTTAGCTTACGAGGTCAGAGGAGGCCTCCCCAGATTCTAAAATGTCCTTGGGCTTCCCAGGTAACTCAGTGGTAAAGAATCTGCCAGACAGTGCAGAAAACTCAGGAGACACGGGTTCGATCCCTGGGTTGGGGAGACCTCTTGGAGAAGGAAATGGCAACCCACTCCAGGATTCCTGCCTGGAGAATCCCATGGACAGAGGAGCCTGGTGGGCTGCAGTCCCTGGGTCACAAAGAGCTGGACACGACTGGGAGACAGAGCATGCACACACAAAATGTCCTTGGCATGCAGTGGGAGGTGTTCAATAAACATCTCATTAGTGAAGTGCTTCATCCAACAAGGCAGGAGTGGGAGTATTTTTCACAAGGATATACTTTACATATTTAACAGATGTGGCCACACACACACATACACACACACATGTTTCACACAATGATGATTTCATAGGTTTTAGTCAAACAACAGAGAGGACCTCATTCTAGCTCAGGGTTCAGCCTTGGACCCTGAATTCCACGTCAAAGGCAGGAAGTAAATGTAAGTGTTACAATTATAGTAGGCTGTGTGGTAATTACAAAGGAGAATCCAGACATGGTTTTGTGGTCAGAAAATACACTTGGGCCTGGCCACACACAGCCCTAGTATTAGTCACTTGTCTGTCTTCAGGCAACCCAAATTTGGCTGACAGTTAGACAGTTTTATGCCAGCTGGGAATAAAAGTTGATTGCTATGTGCTTTTTCAATTAAGTCTGAACATTTTTCTAAGAGCACTTTTCTCCTGAAAGTTAGCAGCAAATATTCTACAAACATTTGCTGCTCGCTTGAAATGCTTATTGGACTGCCCAGATTATTTTACTTGCACTATTCTGGGACGGCATATTTGGAGAGGTTGAGTTGGTACACAGAAGATCCCCTCCCTACCCTGCAAAAGAAGACTGAGTCCAAGTTGGAAACTCTATAGTTACAGTGTCTGCATGTGTGTCTGCGCCAACTCCTGACTTGTTTCTCCCACCCAGCAACCCACAGCTTGGGCTACCAGTGGCTGCCTCTGTGAACTTGGACATACCTTAGACTTTGAATGGAAAGAAGTATGTCAGCAGGCTCAGTCCCTTTGGCTTGAAATTGAGGAGTGGGTGTGTGTATGAGTGTGTGTGTGTGCATGTGTGCTGGACACTCTACTACTAACGGGTATCTAGCTCTGTTCTTGTGGTTTCCTTGGTGGCTCAGATGGTAAAGAACCTGCCTGCAATGTAGGAGACCGGGGTTCGATCACTTGGTCAGGAGGATCCCCTGGAGAAGGAAATGGCTACTCACTCCAGTAATCTTGACTTGAGAATTCCATGGATAGAGAAGCCTGGCGGGCTACAGTCCATGGGGTTGCAAAGAGTCAGACACGACTGAGCATCTGACACTTTCACTTTTCAGCTCTGTTCTCAGTTTCTTCCTGGGACAAGTGGCCTGTCCTGAATGCTAGCACTTTGGCTGGGCCAAGCTGCCGTTGAGGGAATCCTAGCTTTGGTAACTCTCTGACACTGGCTAAGAGTGAAGACTCTTCTGTCTGTGAATGGCTTTTGCAGAATTAAAATGCAGATGATGTCCAGATAGGGTCTACAGAATTAAAAATTTCCTAGGAGTTATAACCTTCATAGGACAGCAAAATTCAACAGACACAATTTCAACAGGAAAATACTCAACAAAGGTAGATTGAGTTAATAATTAAAACAATGAATAGAACATACAAGGATCCAATAATTTCTATTTATCATATATGTATATATATACACACACACTTATATTTTATTATAAACCAATGGTATATGATTGTAAATTTTTGTTGCTATTGTTATTTTTGGTCTTCCTTGGTGGCTCAGATAGTAAAGAATCCACCTGCAACACAGGAGACCTGGGCTCGATCCCTGGGTTGGGAAGGTCCCCTGGAGAAGGGAAAGGCTACCCACTCCAGTATTCTTGACTTGAGAAGCCCCATGGACACAGGAACCTGGTGGACTACAGTTCATGGGGTCGCAAACAGTTGAACACAATTGAGTGACTAAGCACACACATGGTGTTATTTTTCTCATGACTCTGTGCCAGGCACTATGCTTGATATTGGCAAAAAATAATCCTTGCCCCAGGGAGCTCAGTCACACAGGACAGACATATGTCTGTCCAATGCAAAGCAGTCTTGTATGGGCTATGCACACACAAGATATTGTGGAAAGAAGCTCCCAGGAGGGAACAGGGTCAGCCTCTCTGAGGAGCTCACAGTTGATCTGTGTCAAAGAGGAGGCTCTTTCAGCCACATTGTCTGATACAACTCTGCTACCCCCTTAAATGTGAGCATTTCACTCACACCTGCCTCAGGTCAGCATTCTGATCAATATTCTTCCTTCTTTGGCTAGCTATAATCTCTACTCATCCCAGATTCTACATATTTTAAAGAAGCTATACATATCCAATGCTACTCAATCCAACCCAATCCAGTCCAACCAAACCCAATACAACGCAACCAAAGTCAACCCAACCCAATCCCTACAATCAATATCTTTTCTTTGAAATCCTTTAACACCTACTGTATATACCATACTCTTTTAGCTTAAACTTCCTCATTATTCAGTTGTTTTATGTGGATGAAATTTCTTTTCTGGGTAGACTGAAAGCTCCTTGAGGATAAGCAGTGTGTGTTCAAGTCAAGCCAGCTCAACCCAAGTTGCATGAATTAAACACCTGCTCTGTGCCAAACTACAGAAATGCCAGTGGAAACAAAAAGGGTTAAAATCAGGTGTGGTGGGCGAGACAAATACTTACATTTTGTGCAATGAGTGAAATAACAAATCTGTTTTGTATAAAGTACTAAAGTAACCTAGAGGCTCTTGCAAGGTGGGGTGAGCAATCGAGGTGAACCTCCCTGAGAGAGTGATGACTAAGCCAGGCTCTCCAGGGAGGTGTGATAAGAAGAGGGAATGACACTCAGGCAGGGAGGATTAGAGTGTTTAGGAATGTGGGCTTGGGGACAGCCTGCCTGGGTTTGAAATCT